ACGTAGTTCTCAGTTGTTGCAAATGTCCCTTGACACTGCTTCTCCTACATTAATGAACTAGATTCAGGAAAGGTGGAAAAAAGATGTTGATTTGGTTGCTATCATTTCTAAAATTGAGAGAAAGGGGTCTACTCTTGGGAAGGACACATGGGATGGCACTTATTTGAGAAGAAAGGATAAAATTCTGGTGGGAAATGATGCTACATGAGGCAGAAACTATTGGAATCGCTTCATGCTAGTCCACAAGGTGGCCATTCAGGAGTTCAAGCCACCTATCAAAGGGTTAGAGGACTGTTTTGGTGGAAGCATTTACATAGGGATGTACAAGGTTCTGTTAAGGGATGTGATACTTGTGCTCGCTGCAAATATGATACCATTGCGTCTCCTAGTTTGTTGCAGCCTTTACCTATCCCTAGCAAGGTTTGGGAAAGCATTTCAATGGACTTTATTGAGGATCTATCCAAATCTAGAGATAAAAAGGTTATTTGGGTTATAGTGGACATAATGACTAAATATGCCCACTTTACACCCCTTTCTCATCCCTATACAGCATCTACCCTTACTCATTGTTTTTTAGATCACGTGTATAAGTTACATGGAGCCCCGGTCGAAATCATAAACGATAGGGATCCTATCTTCATCAGTAACTTTTGAAAGGAGTTCCTTAAAGTTCTAAAGGTGGAACAAAAGCTTTCCGCTTACCATCCTCAAAGTAATGGTTAGACAGAGGTCTTGAGCAGATGTTTAGAAGGCCATTTACGTTGTATGTTTTGGGAAAGCCCTAAGGAGTGGAATTCTTGGGTATCTCTAGCAGAATGGTAGTACAATACTAATTTTCATACTTATACTAAAACTACACCACATGAATTGTTGTATGGACAGAAACCTCCAATTTACACTCCTTATATTCCTAGATCTGCTATAGTTGAAGTTGTTGACAGGAGTTTTAAAGCTAGGGAAAGACTGATAGCTGTTCTAAAACATCATTTACACAAATCTGCCAATACCATGAAGCAAAAGGCTGATTTAAAGCGTTCAGATAGAGAATTCCAGGAGGCTTAATGGGTATTTTTAAAGTTGCAACCGTATAGATAGATTTCAGCTGCAACTAGAAGTTCTCAAAAACTAGCTCCTAGGTTCTTTGGACCTTACAAAATTCTGAAAAGGATTGGTACTGTTGCTTATCGTTTGGAATTACCCCTTAAATCCAAAATTCATCCTACATTCCATGTCTCAATGCTTAAACTATGTCCAGATCCAAGTGTAAAGCAAAGGCACCCACCTATTGACTAGCCTATAGTCCCTAGTACTCTTCACCTGATGAAGATATTGAACAAGAGAGTTGGAGGGGGGGGGAAGATTATTACAAAAGTCCTAGTTCAGTGGAAGGACTCCCTGATGAAGAGGCACTTGGGTTTCATTATTCAGTTTGCAAAAGCACTTTCCAGATTTTCAGATTGTTGATCCTTGAGGGCAAGGATCTCTTGAAAGGGGGTATTGTTATGTTGAAAATATAAAGAAACTATTAGTTAGTTAATTGCAGTTATTCTATTTTATTTTTTTGTGCCTGGAACTAGCCGTTATAATCAGTAGCCTAACCCATAAATATGAGATTACTAGATCATTTGTACTTGTCAATTTTTGCCACTGACTGAATACAATCCAGAATTTTCTTCTCTAAAACTCTCTGTTCTCTCTCTCTCTCCTCCCTTTTCTTTCTCAATTTTCATAACATCGGACAGTTCATTTTTAATACTTATATGGAATAAAATTAGACATGGGCAATGGAGTTAAAAATCGAATAAACAAACAAAATCGCCTTGTTCTTCCACACGAAATCGCCGATTTGTGCAGCGGAAAACCTGCGAGGTGGTGTGCTGCGCGAAGACTGCAGAGATTGAAAGCATTCAAGCATGTATCATCCTACCAGAGGCATCGTTCGCACTGGGCGAGATCGTAAGTCTTCATTTTTCTCTGGCTCTTGATTCAATTTTTTTTTTGAAATTAACCTTACCTAGAATTGCCCTATTTCTTCTTCATCTCCAAAAGGCCTTGTGATTTTTGTTTTTAAAAACAAAATTCTGCGATGTATCAATTGGGCATCTTTTCCGCAATAATTATGTTTTGGAATTAGAAACTAGCACATAGGGTACTCTATTTTTGTTTTTCTGAATCTGTCAAATTGGCAACTGCTATCTCTTCTCTATATCATTAATTTTCCGCTCTTCTCGCTGATGATGTTGTCATGGTTGGTCCGAAGTGCTTTGTTTTTTCTTTGGGTTTTCTTTTTAACAACCTTTGTATTTTATAAACTTAAGTTGAATTGGGGGATCTGACATGAAGAGAAGTGCTTGGTTTCAATTGCCAAAATGGATGAACGATTTTGTCTTTGAAATGCTTTGGGTTTTCCTTTCGCTTACCATTTAAAGGACTTTTAGCCTATATTGTAGTTCCGCTGGCTTCTGTCAGCTTGCGGCCAGTTTCAGCTTCGTATTTCCTTGTAGTTGTTTATTTTACACAACCTAAGCTTCTCTTATGCATTCTCTATTTATAATAACATCAAATTGTAATAGTAAAACAAATAGCAATTTTAAAATAAACAATCACAATGCGAACAAGGTGGCGAATGGGTGCTTTTAACATGAAATCACGTATATCTCCCCACTGTCATATTCTGCTCATAACTTTCCTCCTCCCCTAGTTGTCACTAATGGACTACAGTCACGTGGTACTTCATCGCAATTTGTCTTTTTGTGCTTTTCTTGTGATGTACAGAGTTCGTTTGGGATGATGTTAAAGTTGATAAACATGGGGGGAACTATCTTGGTCACAGTATCAAGGGGTTGGCAGATGGCAGAAAGGTAAAATTGATTATTCTCTCAAGTTTACAATTTCATGGAGAATGCTGTATATCAATATCTGAATGTGTGAGATGTGGTGTGATGTCATTGCTTAGTTTCAAGGTCATACACGTATTACTGTTATTGCCTCAAGATGGGATATGGTGGTTGAGGATTTGTGTCATGCTGTTTATTCTTTTGCAATTCTAACTTTTATGAAACAATTAAACTCTGGCTCAAAACACGTGTTGATACCATGATTGGAAGAGGTTTTTTCTTCTTCTTCTTCTTCTTTTTTAAGTTTATATTTCCCATCTCCCATTCCCCTGGCTGTTGATGACACTTGTTGGAAGGTTACTTTACCCTTTGGGCAGTCCTATTGCTCTTTAATTGTCTTTTCTGTCAGGCAGCCCCTTTTCACCATAGCAATGCCTTCCATTTCTACAATTCCATCCCTATAAACGTATTCAATATGGACAGGTGCATCTTGGAGATACCCCACATAACTTAAAAAGATTTTGAGGAATTGGCTCGCAAAACTGATGGATTTTCTGGTTCAGACATTTCTGGTTGTGTGAGTAGTACTCACTCGTTTTGTATTTTTTGGATTCCTTGATTGGCATTCTGAGTGTAGGCCTTCTGTTAAGCAGCAATTCGTGTCTAAACTTTTGGATAAGCCTTCAAGCTTTCTCATTTCCATTTTTTTTCTTCTTTGCCCTTTCAGGTTAAGGGTGTATTTTTGAACCAGTTCGTAAAACCACGGATTCCAAATTCTTTAGGAAAACCTCTAAGGGAATGTGGATCCCTTGCGAGCCTACTGAAAGGGGCACTGTTAACATTAGCCTGCAAGAACTTGATGCGCAGGGCCTTGCTTCAGAGGCACATAACGGATGAGGAAATGATGTTTTTTAAAAGTTTCCAATAGAAATTGTTGGATTTGGTTTCTTGTATGACATAATGGCTATCCAAGGAGAGGTATGGATTCAAAAACAAACTGCATCTATAATCTTAAGTGAAGGAATTTTATTAAAAAAATCTCAAGGACTAGTATTGTGCCAACTGAAGGGATTTTATTAAAAAATCTTAAGTTGAGAATAGAATATATTCATGGTAAAAATTAGAGGTGGGATTGGGGAGTGCCACTCCCCCATTATATTTCCAATCCCACATACTTGGTTTAGCCAATCTTATATAACAAGTCAATCTCTAATGCTAGTATTTTTTTAATAGATTTTTTCAATTCAATCACAATCCTTATCTTTAATTTTCAATACTTCTTACCAACACTTAGGGTCTGTTTGGTATGAAGGAAACTGAGGGGAGGGAAAAATTTTAATGAACTTAATTTAAAAAATTAGCGAAGTGAGGTTAAAAGCTTTTAGTTAAGTTTTATTACTTTTTTATCTCACATCTTCTATTTATTAAAATTTTAAAACCGTTTTTTTAAATTTTTAAATCGAGCTCATTAAAATTTTTTTTCCACTTCCTTTCATTTTTCTCATGCCAAACATAAAGTTATTTCTGGAAAGAATCCTATTGTAAGAAAAGGAAAAGTAAAAGTGAAAGAGGATGATTTCTTTTTGTATTAATATAACCTGCAATGGATCTTTTGGTTGGTTAGATACCTGTATAGAAGCTCTATTCCTTGGAAGCAACTTCGAATTCGTTTGCGAAAAAGTTGCTTATTTTCTCAAAAAGAATTTCTTTTATGTGTGTATATGTTTGGCTACGAATTTCTTCTAAATATAAGAGTATATTCTTTTAATAGAAAATTCGACAGAACCAGCGAGGGTTAACAAAAAATATTAGAGAGGGAGACGCTGAACAGAATTTAAACCTTCAAATATGTTTTCCACTATTTAATATTTTTGTTGGTAAACTTTTTTAAATATTTTGTTATCAATGAAGCATAATATGTAGATAATGTTTTCTTCTTAATTAGGATAATCTTTCACAACTCATATTATAAAAGCTATAGTCTCAATTTCTTGTTTGAAATATAAATGAAATCATGATTTATTAATAATTTAATTTTTCAAATAAATTTTATATTAAATATATAATTATATAAATTCTTATAACATTTCTAAAACGATTTTCGCAATGGGTAAGACCTGGTAGCTGTGCCAATTAGAGTAACTTCCCTATATTTGAATAGAATTCAAAATAAATTATATTTTGTATATATTTATATATGATGAAAACATCTTAAATCTTTCTATATTATGTTAACATCCACGTCAAAAAATTTAGAATACAAATATTCTTAATTAAGAGATTTAATTAATCGAGTAATTTCAATAGTTCATATTCAAAGAATAAAAACCTTTTGCAGCGTAATTACTTTCTTGCTTTGGGTTTTGAACTCTTAAGCAGTGAGGTCTCCAAAATGTAGTTTCACTGCTCAGCAGCATTTACTTTGGAACGATCACCTGAAACATACTTGGAGAAATGAGTGCATTGGCAGAAGTCTCATTGCAGTTTTTTTTCCCCCCCAAAAAAACTAGTCTGAAAATAGCATGAGTAACCTTGGAAAGCAGGATGCAAAGGTGCTATTTCTCTTCCAGCCAAGTTTACTTTTACCAAGCATGCATTGCTTATAACTATAAGATCAGCAAGTCAATCATGAAAGAGTAGCTAACACGAAGCAGCTTGTAAACGGGATTATAATAAAATCGGTCATGGGTCTCTGCCTAATATGTTGAGCATTTGCGTGAAATGGCCTTTCCGCGGTACAAGTTTCAGTGACCAAGTGGTGAGTAGTTCAATCTTTCCACACTTCAATTTGCAAACTGGAAGGGCTTTTATGTATGTAGTTTTAAGGCAAGCTACAGACAAGAGGTATTGAATTCAAAAGCATAAGGACCTCCACTAGGTTTATTTGTGAGTCAACACACCAATTCAATCAATTCAATACATACAATTCATGGAAAATTGCATCAATAATATGCTATATACATATGTAAATTGCCTCAAATTCTGTGCAATGCACAAAATGCACGTCTAATTATGTCAACAGAGATGTACACAAGTCATAAAATAAGAGAAGGTTGTCAATTTTGTAACAAAGCTCTAGATAGCAAATTAATGAATCTAATTTACGATGCCAATCCTTGAAATCAACGGCTGACCTCTACAAGTATGTGAAATCAATAATGCATTTCCAGGGGAACTGCTCAATAACATTGTTACAGCACAGATGAAAAATAGTTGATACCTCAGACAGACATGATTTTTCACTTGTCAGGCTCCAGGTCTGGCACGACCCCCATTATATTTTGGTCGGCTAGGTTTGGCAACATCCACAACTATCATCCAGCCATTGATAATCTGTCAAATTAACATCTAAACCTTCAAGACTTTTTCTTGCTATGCTGTTTATCGCTTTCTTTTTTCACTCTTTCTCATTGACACATCTGAAGCAAAATAAATGCAAAGAAAAAAACACTTGTGCATGTGCCCACGCATGTGTGTGTGTGTGAGAGAGAGAGATTTACCTTGCCATTCATCTCTTTCAATGCCGCAGCTGCCGCCTCCTCTGTTGTGTATTCCACAAATGCATAGCCCTTGGACCTTTTAGAAATTTTATCCATAATAACTTTAACTGTCGAGCATAAACGTCCATCAGTAAAAGCGTCTCATTCACCTACACTGTGAGACAAAGGAGGAATGAATATAAATATACACATGCAAGCGCATGTAAAGATACCTTCAACAAGATCACCAAAGCCTTCAAATGCTGCACGTAAGGTCTTCTCAGATGTATAAAATGATAGGCCTGTTAGAAAGGCAATAATTGGCAACTGGTGTCATCTTCGACAATAGGCTTTGCTGCCCCAACGAAGGGAAGCATACTTTAGAAGATAATTTAACATGGGAGATTTTTCAAAAATCTGAGCGACTAAAAACTCCTAATAAAGTGATATATTTTCTTTGGACACTGCATTTTGTCCCATAATTAGCATTTTTTAAAAGAAGATTCCTACAAAATTACAAGCTCTTGACTCAATAATATGCATTTGATTTTGAATTTTATAGGTACCATGAGATCAGCATGGTGGACAGAAGATGTAAGAGTACAAATAAAAAAGTTTACTTGAAATAGCATACCTGTCACAAAAAGCTTTTTTGTCTTCAAAGGAGCTGCCTCACTTGCTTCAGAAGAGTTCAGCACATTCAAACTGTTTCCTAAGTTCACACCTGTTAGATATGTAATAAGTTCAAAATGGAAAAGAAAACTGCTATAAGAGAAAGGTCAGGGTAGAAAACCACAAACAGCATTAATAAAATATTAGTGTAAACTAACAGTAATTTAATTTTTAAGGAAAATCAAATCATGAGACCATAAGGAGTCACACCGTTTTCAACTCTATCATATACATAATACCCAGTTTACAGTCACTAAACTTCATTGACTAAACAGAAAGCGTTGTCTAGGGCACTCTAACTGACTAGTACTTGAATAAACTAGCCTTACCACCATTTTCTTTATCACGACTCCCCCAGTGGTTTATTAAATGGTGGGATTACTTTAGCCCAGAAAAAGACTTAGTCAGGTATTAAAACCATCTCTAAAGCATTCAGATTCATCTATCCTTAGAAGTTATCATAAATTGCAGGTAGTAAGACCTCTGATCTTCCCCATGTATTCTATTCCAGAAGAGTAAAGACCATTCAATATAATAAAAACAAATAACTAAACAGAAAGATAATACTGATTAGTAACAATTTTCTTTGCTAGAGCCTCTACTGTTGAGTAAGCCTCAATAAAATATAATGCAGCTACTGCCATCATTGGAACAATACATACAATCTGACCTATTCAGCAATACCCTATTGGAATATGAATTCAGATAGATATGTGGCTCCGCTTGGGTAAGCTGTTCAAACGCTTATATATGTAGAAGTATGGACATCACCAATTGGGTCCCAACCTAAAATTACTTGGACTTTCACTAGGCAAGGCTGGGCTACATGTTGCAAAATGCAGCTCATTCATTCTTTGGGTAAGGCTTCAGTCAAGGGTCTTGCCCTGCCAACTATGCCCATGAGCAGCCAAACGGTACTACTGCAATCTCAGTCATATAAGTAAAAAATTTCTAAACCATTATGGTCTGTCACAAACCTCCATAATCTTTAATTTCTGACTCAAAATTATTGTCCGGCTGAACCGATAAGACACCAGAGACGCCTGCACAACAAGAAGCATTGATCAAATATGATAAACTCCTAATTAAGGGTGGGAACTGGGAAGCGAATTGCATTCATAGTTGATGGTTTTATAATAATAGTAAAGTTTCACAAGTCTAACCAGCTAGCTCTCGTGCACAATCCTCATCAAGTTCACAGCAAAAGCCAAAGTTGGATTTCCAAGAAACATGGTATATACACATTTGTGCATCCTTCTCACTGCAAACATTACTGTCATATGAGGAAAGGAGAGGTAATTAAGGCAAAACAGAAGAGACAAAAAATTCCTCTTACTTTCCCATGACTTTGGTTAGAATTTGAGCATAATAATCCACGATTTGGGCCTTCGTAACAACACCAACCCCAGGTTTATCCATTCGAACAAGCCAATGCTTTGAATTCCCAGCAGGGAACAACAAAGTGACTCCAGTTTGTAGCTTTGACAAATTATCTGCCTGGCTATTTGATGACCTATAAATATAATCCTTTTCCAGAGAGCTGAAATCTGGATCAGGCTTAACTGAAATGACCCCAGGTAAACCTAGAAACATGGATACAAAACAATTAATTTGATTTTAACAATGCCTCTATGAAAAGTTGGCTACACCTTTCACAAACCAAACTTTCAACTTCCATTTTGAGGGAATAACAAGCACAAGAAAATGCAGATAAATTCATCCTAAGATGAATTTCATCATCCAAGAGCCAAGCTAACTAGACTGTAATTTAAACAGGAGAATGCTAACACCTTGTTAAATTGTTAGGAACAATTAGCTTTAATCTCCAAAAATTGAAGTTCAAAAGACGATCTTTTAAAATAATAACTCTTTTTCCATCGGTCTATCATTAAGTAAACCCAGAATCCCAAAGGAGAAACATACAATAAGTTTGTTACTTCCAAAAACAACTTATCCACCCCCAAAATTTGAAGGTATAAAGCTAAACAGGCAAAATAATTATTTTCTCAATAAAAAACTTACGAGCGAGCTGGGAAGAAGTTTCTTCATCGATATCACAACAAAAACCGTAGTGGGCATCCCAAGAAGCATCGTAAATACACATTTGAGCGTCTTCCTCACTGTTGGTCCATCAAATTCATCGTACTTTTAGGACTAGAAAAAATCAAAATATCCTTTTTGATGCAAAACTCATGATACATTTACCTGCCAATAACTCTTTGAAGAGTTTTTACATAATAATCAATTACTTTCTGCTTGGAATCTACCCCTTGTGGAGGCTTTTCCATGATTACTATCCAATGGCGATTCTCAGTGGTGGAAGAAGCTAAGGGAGTGTAAGTAGTTGCTGAAGTTGCCGCTATTCCATAACAGAAACTGGAGGAAGAAGAAAGCTTGAAATGGGTTGCGTTGTTTGATGAATTGCGCAATCTGGCGTTTAAGGGAAGGTGGCGAAGTTGGAATCTATGAGGTTTGAGAATGGAAAAGGCTATATGTTCATTTAACGTAGGCGAAATCGATAGAACATCCATGTTTTGATTCGGCTCAAACCTCTCCTTCAACCTTGATTTTCATGATAGGAGTTCTCTAAATTATCACTCTCCCTTCAGCTCCTTGTGCCTCGTGAGCAACAATGGAGGCAATTATCCAAACTTGCTCAAATTGTGAAATAGTGAGCGTGCCTATTTATATGGAATCCTTTTTATTTTTTATTTTTTATTTTTATCCTTCTATTTTGAAGCCAATAAATTTTCAACGTCGGTACAAATTATACTAAAATTTTCAACATTATCAAATTTTAAGTAAAAAATATAATTACTAAAAAATTCTAATAATAAATACTTGTTTGTTATTGAAACTTATTATTCCTATGATTTTAAATATAGAATCCATTTTATAATATATTATAAAATAAATTTTATATTTAAAATTATAGGAGTAGTAATTATTTTCTTTTATATTTTTTTGCCAACGTTTATATTTTTTTAATCTTTTGGCGGGAAAAAATACTTTTATCTTAATCACTATATGCATGTTGGAAATTAAATACTTTGATTTGCTATTCTTTTAAGTTCTATATTACTACCTCCGATCCTAATTATAAGAGTCAGTTGACTAATTTGAGAAAATTAAAAAAATAAGTTGAATTAGTTATTTGTCCTAAATAGGTGTCATCTTTCTTAAAATATGCTTGCTAATTAAGTATATTGACTAAAACTATCATTATTAGAAGAACTATTTTTTAAAAAAAATGTATAAATATGAGAGACAAAGTGAATTTGGGTCTTATATTTAAAACCAAAATAAAAGTCAAACAAAATCTTATATTAAGGATTAAAAGTGGCATCATCCTCCCTCTGGTTTTTTTTTTTCTCATAAGAGAATTTTCGGAAAATTTTCCTATTTATAAGAGACAACAATTTATTGTTTGTAAGACACGCTATCCAAATTCTAAATTCAAAGGCGTTGTGAAAGATGGCTTAAAAACATATGCTTACAACGTTTCTCTATAGTTCTTCTTGAATAATGATAATAATAATAATAAAGAAAATTAATTTCTTTAACTCTAAAATAAATTTGAAAATTTTTTAATTGCTAACTATACACAATTCTTTTTCAAATTATACCAAAAAATATACATATGTGGTCGGAATTTATTGAGTGATCAAACACGTTTGTCATGGTTCTAAGATAAAAGGAGAAGAGAAGTTCATGAATATAATATTACTAACAAATGCTCAAATTTCAATATATAATAATGAGATTGATCCATAATTAATTAAAATAATTATCACTAATTAAGAAAAGGAGTTTCAAGATCGGCTTGGACTTCATCGATTGAATGATGAGATTGAGGCTCCAATAGGCAAGCGAAACAAAGAGAAATCATCTGATCAAAATCAAACACCAAAGAGTTAAAACTTAATTAAATTAAAACACACAAAGGATTAAAAAAAAAGGATTAGTAGAGAGTGATCGGTTAGTTAACTAATAATTACCATGATTATGGAAGCAAATATTAAGCTAAAGCCTTTGCATTCAAATGGAGCACTGCCAGATAAAAACCACGCTGAAAATAACATAGAAATGTGTGAGTAGTAATTACGAGGTTAATTAATTTGAAATATGTGATTAAGATGGTTTCATAATTAAACAAGAATTGATTGAAGTTGATTTCCTCTTACATGTCAGTGAACTCATCATCATAGGAGATAGCAAATGAGCTATGGATTGGACACCAGCAATAAATCCTTGTGCTTTTCCCTGTAATAAATAAATATTAGTCATTTTAGTAAATTATACATTTTATTATTTTAAATATAGAAGTCACATAATTAATCTATAAATATTAGAAAATTATTTAAATTATTAGTTATTTATAATAAATATATGTTAATTTCTTTAAAATGCCCTTAAACCATTGGTATTGCAAACTACTCCCTCCGTTCCTTATTATAAGAGACATTTGATGCTTATGGTATGTTCCTATATATAAGAGACACTTACAAGTTGTCTCTACTTTTTTGTGTTGATTTACTATTTTACCCATATTTATTATCTCCAACTCACACTCTCTCTCCCTCCCACTTCTCTTTCTTTTAATAATTTAATTATTCTCTCTCATGCTCTCTCTCCTTATTAATGAGAGCATTTTTGGAAAAAAAATTATACTTTTTACACATTAATTGTTCTTAACTAATTTTAACTGTTTTTTTTATCAACGTACTTCGGTTATTTGTCTCTTATAACAAGGAACGGAGGGAGTACCATTCTTGACCCAAAAAAAAAACCTCCTTTACTGTGAGAAAATAATATGATTATTTTGAGAAAAAATGAGTATAAATTTATGAGACAAGATAAACTAATACTACTTCTAGTTTTTAATATAAGATTTAATAGACTAATTTGAAAATATTAAAAAAATTACTAAATTATTTAATTATAATATATGTTACATGATCTTTCTAAAATATTTATGTTAATAATTAGATAATATACTAATTTATAAGTAAGACAAATTAGTTTTAAAAAACAATAAATATAAATAGTTTTAAATATTTTAATAACTTTTTTAGTTTTCTAAAATTATTTAACTAGTCTTATATAAAGGTATTATTTGTCGGAGAAGACAGTACTTTTTTTGGCCATTTATATTTGTGGGAGGCCTTTTTTTTCATGATATTTGCTGGAGTTAAGCAAGAGGAACAAACCTGATTGGCTGAGCTTGATGCCTTTGAAATAATAGCATAAGTCTGCATCCCAAGAAACATAAATAATCATGATATTAATTTAATGGCTATAAAATTATTATTAGTATATTAAAGCCAGTTTTTCATTTTTACTACATTATTTTTCAATTAAAATATGAAAAATTTATATTTCGTTGATTAAAAAAAACTAACAAACATATGGATTTAATTGAAGAACTGTATAGGTTGGCAAAGAAAAATTAAAGAACTGTACAGTTGTTCAGGAAGATTATACGCATGACGCTTTAATTATTAAATCTAACATGCGCAAAGATAAATATTTTGGCCAAAAAACATTAATTAAAGATAAAAAAACATGCAATTTTTATAGACTGAACTTATCACAATATTTGCACATTAAAATCATACATAAGGAGTATTAATGATGAAAAAAATTTAAATCACGTATGAGATGGGTAGATAATGTAAATTGAATTTATAAAAAGAATAATAAGTGATGGAATACTCACAAATGGCTTCACAAGTACATAGAACACACCGAGAGAGGCACTCAAATATGCTACCTGCATTTATTGAACGACTTCAATTAACGAAACAAAAATTTTGGCCAACAGAGAAAATTAAGAAAACAAGAAAAAATTTATATTATCAAATTGTGAATAATATGATTTTTAATATTGAAATCTAGCTGTAAAAATAAAATTGCAAAAACACGAGTGGGAAAATTTTACCCAAGGAGCCCACGCCAGTCCATAGAGCAGTGCCTACACATATTTAAAAAAAAAAAACAAAGAAACTTTAATTAAGATATTCTATTTTGTTTTTTTTCAATATAAACAAGGCAAGGGAAAATTGCTAAAATAATATATCTATATAGTTTCTATAATTCCAAGGGAAAGAAAGAAAACTTACATAGGCTATGGATGCAAGCAAGGCAAAGCAGAGCATCAATTTCTCTCCAACCAATGGATTAATCAGAGGAGCCAACACAATCTGCAACCATACTCAAATTAAAGCTATATGATAAAAACTGGAAAACATAAAACTTCTTTTAAATTTTAAGAAAAATAAAGGAATTAGTATTATCCTTCATTTATTATTTAATGCACATATAAAAGGGGAGGATTCCAGGGACATGTCAGTTAGACAGTTACATACCTGGGAAAAGATTGAACCAATGCCCACCAACATTTGAATTTCTGTGAACTGATTTTTGTCAAAACCGAAAACTGCTTTCAGATAGTACTGCATCGCAAAATTCGTGGTCTTAATTACACAAATACAATTGATAATATTATCTCACAGCATTTAATATTCCTCTGATTCTTAATATAGTACTCTTTTCGGATCAAAATATAAGCTAAACTTTCTTAAAAGGATTATTTTTTTATAAGATAACATTCACTTTTGTCCAAGTATTTAATGATTTTTTTTCTAATTTTACCCCAATGTATTCTCTTTCCTCTTTAATTTATTTATTACATCTTTTACTTATTCTTTTCATTAATAAGGATATATAAGGAAAAACAAATATATACCTTAAACGTTTATTGTTTTAAATTGATTTTAATTAGTTTCTTGAAAAACGTAACGGATAAAGTTTAGCTTATATTTTGAACCGGAGAGAGTACCTAATTGGGAACTAACTAGAGAATTGATATTGATCCTAAGACTTATTTCATATGTTTATTATTATTTTTCAAATTAATTGTATTAATATTCCCTCAACAATGATAAGGAGAGGGAGAGGGAGAATTGAGAAAGATATTTAGAAAGTTAAAAAAAAAACATATCATATTAATTAATTTAAGAGTATTGTTTATATAATTAAAAGAAAGAGATACCAGCAATATGGTGACAGAGCCAGACATTCCCAACTCGTAAAAGAAAGAGACGAGAGCCATGCCTCGCAATGTAGGACTGTAACACCACACATATTCATCAGTTCTTTTCTTCCTTCACTTGTACAAATTCAAAGTAGCAAGATATTTTTCAATTGTGAGGGACAACCTGGAAAGGACAAGGTGAGCAGCATTTGTCATAGAAGAGAATCGTTGGCGAAGAATATGAATGAGGTTAGGGAAGCGAAGCGAGGGTGGTCGATCCTTTGTGGGAGGCAACCTCAAAGTTTCAGAAAGGAACATTAGCATATAGAGTGAGCTAAATATCAAAAGGCTCGTCGAAACCTGGAACATCATACATATCATTCAACCACAATCAGCACATGCAGTTCAACCTAATTCACGATGTTTTATGAGATAAAGTCTGGTTAAGTTATGGTGATGATGAAGAAGAACATAACATACCCCAAAAATGATGTGCTCAGGAAGGAAGCGAGCCAAGGCCTCTCCTATGAATTGGGAAGCAGAGTGTAGGCCAGTGATCCATCCAAACACTGCTGCTCTTCTGTTCTCCCCAACAATATCTGCCTGAAATATGTTGATTCTTATGTCATATATATAGCTTCTTCTTTTTTCTTTTCTCTTTTTTTAAAAAATTATTACTACTATTATTATTATGGAATTTGAAAAATTTTAGGTCCTGTTTAGTACACAACATTAAAAATAAAGGATAGAGACTGAGATTGTAATTGCAAAAAATTATTAAAAAATATTTAACATGAATAATTGTTTATTGTATGGGATCCAGCAAACTCATAAAGATGAGATTGAGAAATACCAGTTCCCCTATTCCCCAATCCCACATACATGGGTTTATCTAATCTCATATAACAAGTAATTTCTCATACTAAATACTTCTCCGGTCCTTAATATAAGACCTATTTAACTAATTTGATTAGATTAAGGAAGTTAGATAAGTTAGTTAATTACAAGAAATGTGACACGTTTTTCCTAAAACGTTATAATCATCTTTCTTAATATCTTATCTCCCTCTTCTATTTGATTATGGTTGAGGGAGTATCCTTAGGGATAATTGAGAGAAAATTGATAAATATAAAAAACGGGTCTTATATTTATAACCCAAACTAACTCAACGATTGGGTTTATATTAAAGACTAAAGGAGTATTATTTTAATAAATTTTCTCAATTTTAATTCTAATCTCTATATTTTTATTTTCAATACTTCGTACCAGAAAATACTGGAAAAGGGGAGAGAATAAAATGAAGGGGCTGACCGACCACATAAGCAAACATGACGCAGTAAGTACTGCCCTGACTGATAATGGAGGAAACGGTGCGTAGCGCGTAGTAGGCATACACATATTCCTCTGACTGTTTCCACGATATCACAGCTGTATATCAATTCCCAACCAATTAAGTTAATCACAATTAATTAAATATTAATACTGAGTATGATGAGATGTGAAATGAGGAATATAGTCTACCAAAAGGGAAGATGGAGGCAGAAAAGGTGAGAAGAAGCAGCGGTTTGCGGCCGTACTCGTCGGCAAGCTGACCTATCAGCGGCAATACCACCATCTTGAAGATTCCTACCACCTGATCCATATAACAAACACTTAAACACAGGGTCTTATGATGATAGATAACTAAGACTTCAGGAGATGTTTAGTGTCAGTTGGATCAAAACGCCCCAAGGGATTGCCGGGAACACACAAGAAAGACGAAGGTAAGTGTGTGCATATATATATATATATATATATATATGAGAGAGAGAGAGAGAACCGTTTGTTGAAGGGCGACGATGTAGAGAGATTTGGAGCAGGAAGAAGTGTGAGGAGGGCAGAGAGCGGAAGTGGTGAAGTCGACGAGAACGGAAATGGGCATTTCCTCGGCGATGCCATGTATGAAGAACGGCAACAGCAAGTGTACCAGTGGCCTTAACTCTCTCACCCCACTCCTCCACCCCATTTTCTCATTCCCCTTCTTCTTCCTCCTCCTCTTCTTCTTCTTCGAATCTCCACCTTCATGATATATATTTATATATCTTTTTTTTTGTTTGACTCTTTTGTGTTTTTTTTTTAAAGGAAAAGCTTGGCTGGATATAATGACTCGTTAAAGCTAGGGCATGCCTTTAAATTCAAAAAATATTTACAGAAATATTTACATATAGTCTGCTAACAAAGTTTTTATATTAATTGACAGTGAGATTCAAACTTATATATTAGCCACCAACTGGATCAATTTTTATTTACCTTTTTAATTAAATGACAAATTGACAATAATGGCCTCTTTTATCGGTTTTGATTCCCCCCTATTAATTCCCTAACCCCCTTCTATAACTATTAATTAATATCCCTTCCTTTTATTTTTCTGCCAAATTAAAATAACGTTAAATCCCTACGTTTCTCTTCTATAATTTTAGATGGTAGATCCAATCTGGTTCATTTTCTAAATTCGATACAGCGCATTTTGTTTGCATCTGGTTTTTTTCCTTAAAGGAAACAACCTAAGAACTAGTCTCGCGCCCTTAAGTAATTATGATATGGACATGTGATAAGGTTCATTTGTCAAGCAATAGTATTTAATTTATCAATGAACACGCATGGGACATGCCGTTTGCCCAACCTCCCCTGATGTCCTTCTGGCTTCTCGGCCTATTTGCATGAAACCATCCCCTTCGTCCTTTTTTTTAAAATGAAAATTTAAATTTCAAATCATATATTTATTCCCTCAATTTTTTTTTGTTTAAAGCATTTGTCCTTATAATTTAATACGAACATGGATCATTTTACTCTTAGAAGTGCTAAAATCTTAAATTTGAAACTTAAGATACTAAAACCAAAATTCGTACAAACTTGATGGACTAAAGATTGTATTAATCCAAATTTAAAACATACATATATAATTAATTAATTATGTAATAGAAAATTGATAACTATTTTTGCTAGGGGGAAAACAGGCTTTGAATGAGTTAGTCCATACCAGTTTAAATCCACATGGGCTGCCTCAACCTTACAAGCTCCTGATGTATTATCTGCCCATGAATCCTTCTCCTCACAAATATGGCAGCCTCCTCCTAGAGAATGGGTAAAGTTAAATGTTGGTGGGGCTGTTTCTTCGGCTTCACATAGAGCTAGATGTGGAGGAGCTTTAAGAGATCACAATGGCTTTTGGATTGCAGGTTTCACTTATTTTATAGGATCCTGCGATGCATCAGATGCTGAACAATGGGCTGCTTATAAAGGATTACAATTGGCTTGGGATGTGGGGTTTAAAAAGGTGATATTAGAAACTGATGCCCAGAATCTGGTTTAATTAATTTTGAGGAATGGTGATGATACTTTGGATAGTCTCTTGATTTTGCAGATCCAAAACCTCTTGGCTCTTCCTTGGCATGTGGAAATTCAGTATATTTCCTGGGAGAGAAATCAAGTGGCTGGTTCTCTTACTAAAGAGGGCTTACGTAAGTCCTCTTTCCTGGGCTCTTGTCCACCTTGGCTAAGCAGCTTAGGTTACATTTGGTAGGAAGTATTAAAAATAAAAGATTGAGATTGAGATTATAATTGAAAAAAATCTATTAAAAGAGTGCTTAGTATAAGAGATTGCTTGTTATGTAGGATTAGCTAGACTTATGTACGTGGGATTGGAAAATACCATGAGAGGAAGTGATATTCCTCAATTCCACCTCTATGGGTTTGTCTAATCCTATATAATAAGTAATTACTCATGCTAAATATTATTTTAATGATTTTTTTAATTACAATCCCAATTCTAATTCTAATAAGCACCTTAGTTGCTGCAGACTGTATGGGATTTAATTCTCCTATTGATTAACTGTTTGTAATTGGTTGGGTCTAGCCCATTCTCTCATACCAAAAAAAAAGGGACTTCAACAGGCGGGCTTTGTGTTTATCAGTTTATCTAAATAACATCAAGTGTGCATCAAAAAAAAAAATCAAGTGTAGCATTTTTTTTTTTTGGTTCTCAGAAAACATGTAGTGTAGAGTTAGCCCGTAAAGATATCCCAAACTATGAAAGCTATGTAGGGTCCGTTTGTTATGAAGGAAATGAAGAAGAGGAGATCGTACCAAAAAAATGAAGAGGAGATGGGAAAAAAATTTTAATGAGATTAACATAAAAAAAATGGAGAGGGGAGGCTAATAATTTTTCTTTTTACTCTTTTACCTTACATTTTTTTTATTAAAATTTTATAACCTTACCTTTTTAATTTTTTAAATTGAGTTTATTAAAATTTTCCTCTCCTTTCTTTCCTTTCATTTCTTTTGTACCAAACATGTGCAGCCAATGTGGCCTAATGAAATGAGAGGGATTAATTTTTGACAATCAAGATTTAAATTCCTATTAAAAAAAGTACTCACGTTTAGTACTTAATAATATCTTTTTAATAGAAAAATATGCATGCTTAGAAAAAAAATTGTGATTAAAAAAAATCTGTGATGATGGGCATCGTGCATCACACCCATCGACTCAATGACAAAATTAAGAATTGAAAAACACCATACATAATGATAATATAGGAAAATTAAATTTGATCGTTAATAGCGCCCTTTCACTACACACACACACACACTCACACACCTTTTTAAACCTGCCTCCTTGCCTCCCTTCCCTTATGTAATACTTGAATTTTAAAATTCAGAATTTTAATGTTAAGGATTAATTCATTAATTACACAATCAGTCAGTTTAATAATTAACTTTTGGTAAAATATCAAATAATTAACTAATACTGTACTCATAGTAGTAACTTTTTATGAACATTTAAAAAATTGTCACATTATATAAGTGTGCGCATTTTTTTTTTTACCAGCAATATGTGTGTGCATATTATATCATATAACTTTCTCAAGGAAATATAAAATATGCTTGTTAAGATTATAATTATAATTATAATATAATAATAACAGTACTTTTTTATGCAAAATAACAGTACTTTTTTGGTCTTATTCATATGAAGACCGAAAACTCCCCCTCAAATGAATTCTCTCAAATCCTCTTTCTCCCTTTTTTTCTTTTCTTTCCAAAATTCTTTCTCCACCCTTAAATTGAAAAATGAATGATTTAAATGTCTTTTCTCTTTTTTCGCCAGCAGTATGATTTCTATGTAATATCTTATAAAATATTATTATAATATTATTAAAATATAGATAAATAAATTTAAATTATTAAAATTTAACTTGAATAATTTATATCAGTCTTCATCAAATATTCTAATACAAATTTTATAAAATATTATAACAATTTATTACTTCAATCTAAGGATAGAAATGGGATTACGTGCGGGCAAGACCACTGTTTTGAATGACGTTGATAAGTATTTATAAGTATTTTTATAAAACTTATGTCATCTATTTATTTCGTATTTTATAAATTATAATTAAAAAACTAATTATAAGTTATTTTAAACATAACCATCACATTTTTATCATTATAGAGTGGATTGGATCCGGAAGTCTGGTCTAAAAAGTGTTTAGATAAAACCAAGTTTCTTATGAAATGGAACCAAAATGAAGCCACAAAAGTAGAAAGATGAAGACAAGAGAATGAGAGAACTTTTTGTATTTCTTCACTTACATTACAACACAAATGACATGCCCTATTTATAGGTATAGTTTTACAAATAGGTTACAATTGTCCTTAAATGTCAAATAGTGGATAATCAATCCCATGAATGTGAATGGAGGTGAATTACAAGAGTGAATAGGTAGTGGAAGAATAATGGATGGTGGAGGTACTGGAAGTTACTTGAAGAAGATGAAGAGAAAGAGGTAAATGGACATCCATACAATATTCATAACACTCCCCCTTTGATGTCCATTATACAAATATGTGCCTCGTTAAAAAACTTCAACTAGGAAAAACCCTGTGGGATAAAAACCTAGAAGAAGAAAAAGAGTACACATTTATTGATATGCTATTCAGTGCTGCCTCATTAAAAACCTTACTAGGAAAAACCCAATGGGATAAAAACCATAGTCAAGGAAAAAAGAGTACAACATATGTTAACTCCCCCTCTTGGTAATATCAGTTGATATCTCTGAGTCTACGGCATCCGATATCATGAATAAGCTTTTCAAATGTTGTACAAGGAAGTGACTTGGTGAACAAATCTGCTAGATTTTCATTGGAACGGATTTGTCGGACGTCGATTTCACCATCCTTTTGAAGATCATGAGTGAAGAAGAATTTTGGTGAAATATGTTTTATTCTATCTCCTTTGATGTACCCTTCCTTTAGTTGCGCAATACATGCAGTATTATCTTCATACAGAATTGTCGGGATCATTTTGTTGGAAGACAAGCCACAAGTGGTTCATATGTGATGTATTATCGATCTTAACCATACACATTCTCTACTTACTTCATGTATTGCAAGAATTTCTGCATGATTAGATGATGTGGCTGATATGGTTTGTTTCATAGAACGTCATGAAATGGTTGTATCACCATATGTGAACAAATAGCCTGTTTGTGATCTACCGACATGTGGATCAGACAAGAATCCAACATCTGCATAACCAATGAGGTTAGTTTTGGGTACATTTGAGTAAAATAACCCCATGTCCATAGTACCCCTGAGGTAACGAAGAACGTGCTTAACTCCATTCCAATGTCTTCATATTGGTGACGAGCTATATCTTGCTAGTAGGTTAACAGCAAATGATATATCACGTCGTGTGCGACTAGCAAGATACATGAGTGCACTAATTGCACTAAGGTATGGTACTTCTGGATCAAGTAGTTCTTCATCATTTTCTTGAGGTCTAAAAGGATCTTTATCTTTCTCCAAAGACCTTACAACCATCGGAGTACATGATGGATGTGATTTATTCATATAAAAATGCTTTAAGACCTTTCTTGTATAGGTTTCTTGATACAAAAAGATCCCATTTCTTGAATATTCAATTTGCAATCCAAGACAAAATTTTGTTCTTCCCAAGTCCTTCAT